AGCAGGTACAAAACAAGGAGCCTGAATCCCTCCTTACCATGCAAAACAACTTTGTTTTACCACTGCAGTTCCCTGCTTACAGCAGAACATCTGGCTTGTTTAGCTTTCCGAACAGTAAAATCTCCTGGGCTTCTTTGTGTTGACTTTAAATATTGTAGTTTTATATTCTGATAGAAGGCAAATTCCACCAAGGAGAGATTATCAAAAAGATCATTTGGATGCAAATGAAAACAGCTGTGTTTTAAAACTATTGCTTTTTATCCTTTGATGGCAGAGAACAGGAGGCAGCCACTCCATCAGCTACTTGTAGATGAGTGATAAGAAGACAATACATTGTTATCTCGTGGCTCTTTCAGCTCCCCAGTATTAGGTCAGTATTGTTTTTACATCATCACAACTGGAATAGGGTTAAAAGCTTTCTCCATATCCACAGAAATCAACAAGATTTAAAAATAGCTGTACAGTAAGGGCAGGTACTGAAGTGGGCAGGAGAATCTCAGACCTGTATTTAGAGGTTGGTCTCTGAGTTACTTCAGCCAAGTTCTGGTCATGCATGGGAAACCTGTTCTCCTGGGAGTGCACGGCAGGACTGAGCATCGTGTCCATATACAAACTCTAGGGGTTTTGTTGTTTGTTTGTTTGGGTTTTTTTAAGCCTCCATGGTTTTGAATTGCTCCTTTATTTTTAAGGAAATTAACTAAAAAGCTTTCCCAGCCAAAGTGGCCATAAAAGTCAACAGCAACCATGAAAATGTGAGAAGTTAGAGGAAATTCTTTTTCTTCAGTATTATTACACAGACTGGAGTGGTGCTGCAGTAGTGGCATTTTGTATTTCCATTTTGAGGCTGTCGTTGTCAATGTATAATGAATGACATGAAATGGCAATTAAGTAATGAAATCATTTCATTCAGTGAAGCAAACAAACACATGTAGAATGCCTGGATCCTGTGGGACTCCGAGATCCCTTTGTCTGGTTCTGTTCTAACTCACCCCAGTATCAATCTGGATTCAATTTTCTGGATCTAGGTGCTAAGAAGTCTGAATTCAGCAGTGTTTCTGCAGGTCTGCATTGGAATAGTGGAGCATAGTCTGTTCTCTCCATCTTTACTATGCAGTACTGTTGTCTTCCAGGAGCTTCATGATCCCAATCACTGCTCAGTTTTTACTAAACTGGAAAAACAGCACAGATTCCATTATAATGAATTTTCTTGAAAAGGTGGGAAACTGAAAAAAAAGAAATTCAGTACGTATCAGATCAAGGATTATGCTGGCAAATTTACTGCCTTGCTGTTCAGATAACATTTCAGCGATCTGAAGGAGCAGTCAGTGTCCATTATGCTTACAGGCACACGGCAGGCCGCGGTGCGAAGGCTGTTGACTGACCGCAGACGTTCAGGTTGCGGTTGGATCCCCTGCCCGGCTGCTGTTTCCTTTGTCTCGTGTGCAGTTTGCAGGGCAGCCGCAAGGTGTCTTTGTCGTACCGCTCATTTTCCAGACCAGGGCGGCTAACGTACGCCTCCAGCACTCAGCATCACAGCGACTCTCGCTTCGTTTGGGTTACGGCAGATTTGCACCTGAACAAACCAAAGCTGTAGTTCCTGTCCTTGCATTTTACAAGGCAAGAATAAATTATTTGTGGTGTTGCGGAACTCAGCAGGGCCTGCGAGGGCAGCACAGCCACTGAGTCAGAAATTGTTTTCTGCTTAACGTGGAGCTCTGACTTCTTGGGTAACGGATCTGAGAGCGACTGCTTTATTTTTTGTGCAAACAATTTGTATCTCCTTGCATCTAAAAGTCACTGCCTGAGAGCCAGAGGAAAGGAACTGCAGTGCTGTCAGGGAAAGACATTTCATACTCCGAAGAGTTCATCCCCTAAGGTGAGCCTGCAGGAGAGAGGAGCACATGTGCAGCTAATGGAGATGGAGGAGCAACGCAGAGCAGGTGGTCTCCCACCATGAGCTGATTGTAAAAGTACTGTGCTAAGGGAAATGAAGGTGCTCATGCAGGTGTGGAGGTATTCACAGCCTTGTGTCACTGATCTTTGTACAAAATCCGCCTCAGCCTCACACAGGTAACAAATTTTAAGGCAAGACCTAACAGTTGCCTTAAGTGAGAGAAGTGGGGAGGAAAAGGATGAGAAAGAGCTCTTCTTGCTCTCTTCAGAGACCACTCGGTGCAGCTTTTTGCTCTTGTGTGCTCCGTGTGAATTCAAACCATGTAGCAAATGCCCTGTTTATGCCTGAACAAAAGTTCCCTTTGGCACGCCACCTGCTTCCAAGATGGAGAGCGTTGTTCTGGCAGCCTGTTAGAGGTGAACAGCTCTCCTGTATGTAGGCTGTAAAAGCACAACGTGGTGAACGTAAAATTAGGAATACATGTGTTCCCTCTGGCTTTACTTTGTTGTCATTGTCTGAACTACATTATGGATCTATGTGCATAATATTCTTTTGAATTCCAATGCCTTTCAGAGATTTAAAATTTCACTTTTGTCTTTTGCCAGGGCATTTTGAAGTGCAGCATTTTATAATGGAAGCATAACTCTGGTTTTGGGGCTAACTGGTCTCCATTTAAAAACACTTTCAGGATATCCTGGTGTAGGAAAAATATATATATATATTGTATATATATGTATCCTTTTTGAGTAACAGTAGATTTAGAGATGCAGAAGCATCCTAACTGCAGAGGGCACTCATGCTACAAAACTTTTAGAAGAGGTGTCTGCATGGGAGAAACAGGTTGGAGCAGTGAGAAATGCTTAACATTCAGATTTGTCTCCCAAAATTGTGACATTTGATAACATTTTGTTTGCTTCTGATCCCTGCTCCTTTGCACGCAAAGTGATGGCAGAGGGTGGCAAAGGGGATGCAGCAGGAGATAAAAGCCTTGAGACCCCAGTCCAGTATCTGTTCATTATAGCTTTAAGCCTTATTATCTCTGGTTTTCTGGTGTAAAACTCACGGTTATTATGAGGTTCTCTCAATGATGTTGGGGTACGCGGGATGATGGAGGCCCTTCTCACCCCCACTGACACATTCAGTTCCTGACAAGCAGCCCCACCACAGCCTTTGCTGTGAGAGACATTAGTGGGTATCACCATGCTCACCAGGGCAGATCCAGCCTAAGTGGTCACACAGCCCACAGACAGTTCAGCAGGAAGGCTATAATTAGGCTGCTGACAAGGAAAGGGATAAACCTTCCAAGGAAAATCCCAGACCAGGATTTAAAGGCTCTGCAGTGGCACACTCAGTTCTTTGGATGGATGTGCCCAGGATTATCAGCGTTTATTTGTCAGCCTCCTCTGTGGGAAGAATCCTGTACAGAAGAAAGCAGCCTTCCTGAAGCATCTCTGCCGAGTCTCATACAGCAAGCTTTGTTCCAGCAATGAGAACAGATTGCTTCTGCACGCACCTTTAGTCGGTTTGGCCCAACAAACTGTAGTAGCGCTGAGCAGAGCAGTTTTCATCCCACACATGCATTGAAATCAATGGATGCAGGAGTAGCCCTTAGTCCTTTCTGACCCTTGAGTCTAAAGAACAGTAAAGATTCTTGCACAGAAACAAGTTGCAAACATTCCCTGTAAAATACAGAATGAAAGCTTAGAACCTGAAGAACACCAATCTGCGACAGAGGCCTCACGTCTGCAGCAGTGCCCTGGGCAGCACTGCAGTTGTGGAGTCTTTGTCTATTGCCTTCTTATTTAATTTTGTTTAAATTCACCAAAAAAGCAAATAAAACGTTGAATCTCCCCATCTGTATATGAACGCAGACAGTTAAGAAGTAATGCTACTGCACCATTTCAATAGCTTTTGTCTGCAAAGTGTCATACTTTTCATTCACCATTTAATTCTTCTAAATGGATGTTGCTCTTCTTCCCATTATGGATCTGCACCGCTTCCATGAAACATTATTTGCATAAAAGGAACTAAATAATTGATGGAGGACGTGAGCAAAAGCTAGCACACATCTTGGTAGGGGTTTGCTGGTAATCCCAGCGAGTCTAACACATAGCTCATAGCTTGTTTAATGGGATGGAAGCTGACAGGGTTTTCTTGTACCTCTGCTACAGAACTCATAGCTTCTGAATGACCTCCTTGTACTTAGCTGCTTTTCTTGTTGATCTCACTGCTCTTTTCCTCCATTAGCGGGAGAATTCTTCAAGGCAGTGATACAGTATGCTACAACTTGTGTTCACATCCACCATAAAACACTGCTGCAGCTCAGGCCTGGTGGATTTATTCTGTTGCTTTTAGAAAATGAACTAAAAAGGAAGCAAAATCAAAAACGGATCATACCATTAAGGGCAAAGTCTGCAAGCAGCTTTCATTTACAGGTTTGTTTGACCTTGAATCCAAACCTGAGTTCAACCTTGGGGTTACAGGCTTGGGGTTTTTTTCCCACATTAAAAGTTCTGTTGGTAAAAATCTCTTAAGGCTGTAAGATGAGATGCATACTGAACATGTTCTGAATTTTAGACATTTTAGATGACTGTCAGAGTGAATATGTTTCTGAAAGGAGGATGAGCCGTGGAAGCAACAGATCTGGAAAATAAAGCTGTCCGTCGTCTGTAAGAAATGATCTAAGACTGCATTCAAATTGAATAATTCTTTTTTACGTCTTTCTACATGTGTGAAGTGTGCATTCCTTACTGATCAGCAGCAGGAGTCGGGGAGTCTGGAAACAGCCGTGCTGCCTTGCTTGCTGGGGGAGCCATTCAGCTGCTCTGACAAGCAAGCTGCCATTTTCCATGCGATCGCTGCTGATGGTGAAGCGGTTGTTTCGCTCTTAACTGTGCGCAAATCCCCCTTGGTTTTGCTCTTTTGAAAGTCAGACGTATTTCCATATGTCCATAGAAGCTTCCCTGACAGTTCAGCGTGCTCTTTGGGATGTCTTATTCCTGTTGGGTGACGGCTGAAATCGGCTGCTTTGTTTATTAAGTGCACGTGACACCGTGTAAAACATACTTAATATCCTCAACCATTGCACAGGTGTTCTTGTGCCAAAAGGAGATTCCAAGTTTTGCCGATCTGATCAGCCTTGTGTTCTCTCCCATTTGGAAAGCACTCCGTAAGAACTCCCATTGCTGATAAACACGTTATCGCACGGCTCCAATGTTGTTCTTAGAAACAGTTTTCAGCCTTCTCCAAAGAGGAGCACTTGAAAATAAAGCGATTCTGTAAGAATTAATGCTGGCACGTTCTCTGTCTGGGGCCTGCTTTAGGCTTTTTGGGAAAAGGCTTTCCATGACAAAAGCAGGGTGTTTTGTTTGTGTCTCAATATTTTATTCCTCACCGTGTTTTACACATTCTATTTCCATTCCCATAAAACTAAGTAGCAAACAAATATATATCGGTAGCATTTTTAGATTTCAGTTCTTATTCCTTCCCATCAATTTGGCTGAAAACAGGTATTTGCAAACACTGGTAGCCTAATTTCTCATGGCCTTTCATTTTTTATGAAGTGTTTTCAAAAGACTTCAATCAACCTTAATGGTGCGTTTTTAGTTAAGGAAACAGAATGGAGAGAAGTCAATTTAAGCTCCCCAATGAACAAGTGTGTACAGAAAAAAAGGCACAAATGGGTTTAGAAAACAGAGCCAGTACAAGCAAAATGCAGCGAGCAGAGCGCTCGGGGAAGCCAAGATATAATGGAAAGAGTAAAATACTGCAGAGCTTTTTAAACTATATACAATTGGAACAATGGACTGGACCCAGACATCTATGTTAGACTGTTGGAAGATAGGTGAAAAGCAAGCTGCAATTCTGTAACCGGGGCCAGAGAATACTAGAATGGAAGGGCTTAAAGCCGAAGCAAATGAACGTGGGGTGGTTTAGCTTGAGAGAAATCACGTTCAGATTGGTATATTTCGCTGTTTAATTTACCACGTGCAGAACCATCTCCTGGCTTTCTGTATTAAAGGACTGTCAGTACCAGCCGCCTTAATGCAGCTCCTTCTAAGCCACCTGTGAAATAACAATATCTTGGTTATTGCACCTCTGTTTTTGCCAAAACACCTTAAAAGCATGGGCTAATTAAGTAACACAGCCACTGTGAGAACAGGCCACATAGCTACAAAATGTATGCTAAAGAAATACACCTGGGAGGCTATTGCACAGTGATTGTTTAATTGCCTCCCGTTATTTAAACGCGGTATTAATTATACATGCAATGCCTTGTTCCAAAGCATCACAGCCTCGCTGGAAAAAGGGTAAGTACATCAATATTAAAGATCCAAAGACTAAAATAACCCAGTCCTGCTGAACCAGTGCTCTCAGATGTCTGGGCCCAAGCACCTCTCTGAAGCAATCTGCTGCACAGTGCACCAGCACTGATCAGCACTTGCACAGTGTATCAGTTATACTTTGCTTTCATGCGCGCTCGCAGTCGAGTGCAATTGTTTTTAATGCCTGCCTTGCGATGTGATTCAATCCATTTGGGTGGCTTAATGCAAAGATTTCGTAACGTACACAGCGACGAGCAGCACTAAGGCAACTCACACAGCACTCATTATTCTTTTAAGGGGAATGTCAACAAGAAGAGGAATTAGAGAGGAAATCGCTGTAACTCCAAAAGAACATCTGACTAACCACTACAGATGACATGTTTTTTCCCTTTTTATCCTCTTCACAATCCATAAAGGAGGATTTCTCCAAAACAATTAATTTGGTTGCCAAACCCTTCTTAATTCTAAGGAGATTTAAAACTCATCTACTTGGAGTCTGTCTCGTGGAGCTAGACCCACAACCGGATTACGAGCTATTCCATCATATGGCTGTTGTTAGCCCAGTTGCTGCTACGTGGTACATAATTGGACCATTAAAAAAAGAAAGAAAGAAAGAAAAAGAAAGGACAAAGAAGAAAAAGACATATAAACCCTTCAATCTTCTTTACTGAGCCCACTGGCACTTCCAGCATTTTATTGTTTGTGTTACTTTCTCCACTAAATAAAAGCCTGGCAGCCTGAGAGAAAAAAGATTTTCTACAGCTTCTTCCAAGTAACTCTGAGATAGAACCTGTAGTGCAAGCATTGACGCTCTGAAATAAACCGGTAACAGGCAGAATTGTGAGCTTTGATCCCACAGCAAAACTCAGGTTTAAGTTAGAAAAAGCCTCTTCTTTGTGTCTGGTGTTGGAGAGCATCTGGCAAATTTCCACTTAGCAGGAATCCTGGTTTGCAGGCACAAACTAAGTCCAGTGTTAATTCTTTTAATTATTGCACGTGTGTTTTGTTTTGCTTCTTTAGGGAGAATCGGTGACCTTAAACAAGACAAGGAAGACTTAAACCCAGATTCACCCCTTTGTAACATGGCTGGCTTAGAGCCGGGGTCATGGTAATGTTTTGTTTCTCTCTGCTGTGGTGCACAATGGTCGGCTCTTGATCTTTGCAAGCCAAGATGAGACCAACAGTTAGATAATGTCTGCACTGACAGCCACAGTCTCAGACCTGTGATGTTCCAAATTAGACACACCTCGTGAATGCGACAAAGCCACCACGTAGGCACCGTGCATGTCACCTTTACATGGGGAAGGCAGAAGATGGAAGGAATGTACTAAAGCCTTGTCCTAAAACGGCACCAGAAGCACTTGGTCACGTAGTTCAGAGGTGCTGCCGGAGTACGCAGATGAGGGTTTTACTTTAAAGTATAAACCACTGTTTGGCTGGCAGCCTCATGCCTTTGACATTCTTTCAATGCAGTTGTTTTATTTAATGTACTGTAGGCATATAATTGGTATTAAGCTTGTAAGCATAATCTGTGGAAGCCCGTAAAGTGCGGCTGCGTGCCATCTCAGCACAGATCAACAAGTACCGCAGTCTGGGAGAAGGACAACAAGTGCACCAACAGAAACATATTTCTTCTCTATGAACTTTAGTTTAGTAAACAAATCTGTACCATGCTGGTATTTATTACAGGTTATGGCTTGACGTGCAGATTAGGCTGACTATTAGAAGAGAGAACATTGTGGCCAGGATAAAGTCTCTGCCCAGGAAGACACTTGATTTTGCCAATAGAAGGGATGAAATGTTGTAAGACAAAGGGACGCTTCCACATGTGAGGACCAACCATTCAGGCTCCCTGCCCCATTTCCATATGGGGTTGAAAGACTTGATTTTACTGTCTAAATCTCAGCGTGCCAAGAAAGAAACCGCTTAAAGCTAAATATTTAAACTTAGAGTATCTCTCTTCAGATATTTTCTTCAGAAACAAAATACATTCGCTCCATATTTTCACCTTCAAGTTTCCGTTTTCCGGCTTGCAATAAGGCAGAGCCCAAGTGTATCCTGTAAACATTACCCTCACGCCAGGACAGGAGCTGTTTCACAGTGCCCCTACTTGACTGTGATCCTCTTTGGAGAAAAAAAACTCAAGTGTGAGTTTCTGATAAGTTCCAGCTTCGGAATCCGTGCAGAGATTTCTCTCTCACTCTCTGCAGGGCCCAGAAGAAATGCCCACTCTTCATTTCCTTCCTTTCGTACAGCTCAAGCCAACTCTACCAACATCAATTAACAATAGCCCTTCCTCTCCCTGTTGTGTTTGGTGCGTTACGTCACCCAGAACCAAACAAACCGCAACGTTTCCGAAAACAGAAATTGTTTTTAACAAATGCAGGCCGGCTGTTTGGTGTCTGCCAGCTGGGAGCGCTGCCTTCAGAATCCACACTGGCTGCTCCTGCTCGGTCCCCGCGTTGCTCACCAATCTGTCCATCTGTCCGCATGGCGTCGTGCCAGCACTTCAGCCGGCCCCATCCTTTTCCTGGGCACAAAGCAGAGTGCAGTTGGATGACAGTCTCAGCAACTGCAAGCATTTGCTACAAGTCCCTCTAACGTGACAGCATTGCTCCAAGAGGAGAGCTAGAGAGACCTCAGCTTGGTGTTATGCTACCGATGGTCTTCAGCTTTTGGAAAATGACACAGAGTCATTGGCAGAACTGCAGTCACCAGTGAATATAACATGACAAGCACTGCAGTTTTATACATGTATATCTTTAAGTGCATCAATGTATTCCTTAGATTAGTAGTTAGGCATCTGCAGTACCTGAAAATGTAAGACAAGTTTTATTATTGTATAACATACAATTTAAGTCACAAAACTCCCATTGATTTTATTGAGAGCAGCATTTGCCTTTAAGTATATTTTTCCTAAAGCTTTTTTAAAGCAACAGTTCAGGACTCAACTTTGCCATCGTTCATTGAATGCTCCAAAGAAGTCCCACTGAAACGGATGAAGTTTCTGCTAGGAAGTCCACCGTGAGTCTTGGCACCAGGAGATGCTTTGGGGAGCAGGACTTGTGGCTTGCAGCATTTCTCTTTTTTTTGCACAGTTCCATGTATGACTGCTGATTCAGATGGACTCGAATTCTGACACTCCGCTGTGTTGCTGGGTTTGTTAGAATTTACAGGTAGCTTCCTTCTCAAACCCATCTTAGTTTCAAGAACCTTATTTGCCCTGAAGTCCTCAGAGACCAAGAGGGCATTACTCTTTTTTCAGGAATTGAGGTAGCTTACCCATTGGACAGAGGGAGCGAGCACCAGGTCATCACTGCAACCATAATTTCTCTCTTACTCAATTGTTACACAGAAAAAAGTACAAGTTACATCTTTCATCAGAAAATAATTGATTTAAGTTCTTGTTTTCTTGTTTTATAAGACTACCCAGTGTATGCAGTTGATTGTATCTGAGTGAAGAAATCTTGTAATTGACTTTTTTAAAATTAACAATTTCTTATATTTGGCATTAACTGTCCTTTTAATTAAAATTTGTTTTTAGAGCCTTTTCCATTAGGAAAAAAAACAACTTTAAAAAATAAACATATTAATGATACTCGTACTCTGCTGCTCCTTATGTCTCCAAATCCAAAAGACAGAGCAGCTGAAGGAACTGGGGCTGCTCATTCTGGAGAAGAGGAGGCTGAGGGGAGGCCTCATCGTGCTCTAGAGCTGTCTGAAAGGAGTTTGCAGCAAGGAGGGTGTTGGTCTCTTCCCAGGTAACGTGACAGGATGTGAGGAAACAGCCTCCAGTCGCACCAAGGGAAGTTTAGATTGGACATCAAGAGTATTTTCTTCACAGAGCAGGTGGTTAAGCTTTGGAACGGGCTGCTGAAGGAGGCAGCAGAGTGGATGTGGCACTGCTGGACACGGCATAGCAATGGGACCTGGTAGGTCAGGCTGCTAGTTTGACTGGATGACCCCACAGGTCCTTTACCTCCTAGATGGCTCTATGGTTTGCACCATGGGAAAGCTGGTCACTTACATCTGCCTTTAAGCACCTTTAAAGCTGAGGTGCTCATTTCTAGGCATCGCAATTTAAGACAAATCAGAGGAGCTGTATGAGCTCTGAAAGCTCAGTGCGCTCCTGTCTTCACAAAACAATGACTGCCAAAGCGAGGCAACCTGACCGCTTCAGAACTCCTCTCCATTTTGTACTGAAATCTTTCCATGCTTACCAGAAAGGTTTTGAGCAGGTGCTGCCCAAGGGCTGTGTGTGCTAGGGACCTGTCTATGGATAGGGTTACATTTATACAGGTTATAATTATATACAGACATGTCTAATTGCATTATTGCCAAAATTCCCTATTTGCATTCTTTCCATTTTTTTACGGGCTGTTTTTAGCTTGCCTTTATTTTCTGTTGTTTTGTTTCTATGCAGTAGAAGATTCTTCATCAGATGAAGCTCTAAAAGAAAACAGACGCACAGCACAGCACAGCACAGTTTCTCTGCTGGCAGGGAAACAACATGAAATCTGCAGCTACCCTAAACTGCCCCAGTACTTATTGTGGCATTCAGGCTCTGTCAGTCTTCTTCAGGAGCAGAAATAACATTATAATGACTGGGAGACAAAACTGCCAAAGTCTTTCCAAGACAATCTTCTGGGCTCATCAGCATAGACAATCATTCTTTTCACTTCTGGAGTAATAGGAAGATTTTAAGCAATATCTTTTGATTTGAGTTGGACTTGAAAAATGACATAGCTGGGGGCCTTATTTTAAATGCAACGAGACTGAAATGTAAAGTGCAATTTCCCATGCAGTCTGTGGAGAGAATGAGGCACTTGTCCCAGTTCTCTTAATTGTCTCTGATTGCTGTTTGTGTAGCACAGTCACTTCCTCGTCTTCAAAATCACCTTCAAGGGCTGCAACATTTTTCACTTCACTGTTTTAAATCAGGAAGGGCTAAACACTCACCCATTCAGCCATTATGGCTCTTTTATGTTATTTATGTGGTTTATGCTATTAGGCTGTAAAATTTTGTTTATTTAATTGGCTTTAACAAGTACTTAAGTAACAGTTTTGAGGACACATCAGTGGGACTCGGCGCATGTTGATTAAGGTGTGCTTAACCTGACAGTTATATTTTGTACCATTTTCCCAGCAGCCGTTACTGTTATGGAAGAAGTGCTAATTTTCCAAAAATGCTGGCAGCCCGATTATTATGTTGGTTCTTTATTCATGCAGCTTCATTATTTTGTTGGCGCTGCTCTGTGAGAGATGAAGCAGTGCTATTATTTCTACTCCCAACTCCTTTCAGTCCTTTGCAATCACTCAGGCACATGTGTGGCATTACTCAGATAAGCAATTCTGTTTGCCTTCAGTGAGTGGGTGTATGAATACACCCTGTGAAACAGCTGCCCACCTTCCTATGTCAGCACAGTATTTCCTGGCATGCACTTTGAGAGATGAAGAAGAAACAGTAAAGACCCATCAAATCTTTGTTCCATCAAATCTTTGTTTAAGTTTTAATTCAGAAGGGAAGTTCTGCCAGTGAGGAGCCCTTGGTTTTATGGGGAACCAAAAAGGAGGGAAAAGGAGTGGGAATTTCCAAGGTGGTTACAGATAAGTGGAGATCAGAGAGGCCGCTTTGGCCTCTAAAAGTAGAAAGGCTGCTTAGGTCTGTGGCTGGAATATTAGAAACTGGTACTTCAAAGTTACTCAAGACTGCAGAAGTCCAACTTAGCTTTTACAACAAATTATTCATGGAAGTCAGCAGGAGCTGGAGATAAACTATTCCTTTTGTGCATATCTACGTGAACGGAACTCTCAAGAGAGATCCTCAAGGTCCTGCCAAGAAAACAAGTGGAAACATTTTGAGAATGGAGTAAAGATTTATAATTGAAAGCACCCAAAGTGTGTTTTGGTTAGATGCCACCTTTCCTCAGATGAGTGGGTGGCACAGAGGGCAAGGAAAGGTATGAGGGCTGGAAGGAATGTGGCTGTGACACCAGGCTGCTTTTAAACGTATGGCTGGAGCTCTGTGCACTCAGATCCCAAGACACCTTGACTCCACCAGAATGCCCAGCTTAGACCTTCCACCTCCTTTATTTTTTCCCTGGTTGCCAAGATGACACCAGGTGTCATCACACCACGCTTGGCCTCTAGTGGAGATACATCGAAATGCTGCCTTCTACAGCCTCTGAATCCCTAGCAGCGCAGTTGCAAATAAAAGGCAAGACTGGAGACAGAAGCTTTCTTTCTCTCACCTTTCTTCACTGGAGAAATAAAAATTGAACTTGTTGAAATGCATACTGTCTTATTTTTCACAACTTGATTATTATTTGAATTACCATTGCAAACCCGTGCATGGATCTGAATGCACTGCACATGCATCCTGACCTAAGGAGCTGAGAACAGCAAGAGACCATGGCTGGGCAGCGACTAACAGGCCACAGGCAAAGGAACAATCAAGTAAGCCAGGTTAGCATGTGTTCAGGGGCTCAGAACACCTGCACTTTCCTCTTAAAGAAAATAAGACTCTGGCCATATTAAAGATGGTGGCAGTTTCAGACCACATAAGCAACTTTTTTTCCAACAAGGAGAAAATTAGTGCCACACAAAATGTGAATTTTCTTTAAAGCACTGAGTGTAGCAGTGGGGAAAGGGAATAAAGGATGTTCTTACAATGAACACTTCTGCTTTAAACAGAGCATTGGAAATGAAAAATACTATTTTTCATATTTCACCCTTAATAACACATTAAAGGGTTTCTTAGCAGTACTTCTGACAATGGGAATAAGTCAGGGTTAACTTGGCAGAAACCCCAAACCACACTTAGCTGCTCCCTATTGTAACAGTGAACAAAGGTTTTATTAACATCTTACCCCTCGTTGGGCCCAAGAGTTCTTTTCCACACAACAGGAGCTTTGAGTCAATTTACAGCTCTGCAGAGGGGATTTGTGCTATCAGATTCCACATGTCATTCAGCAGTTGTTTACATTTATTTCCCACCATCTCCATCAAAATTTATCCATGAGAAGTAGGGACTTTTTTTTTTTTTAAGAGTATTTTTAAAACATATCCACGATGAGCACAAAATCAATGGATGAAAAACCTTCCAACCTCCAAAACCAAGCTGCACATAAAAGATGGACAGAGGAGGTGCTGTAGTTCATGAAGTCTGCCTTCTATAGTAAAAGCAGAAGAAAATCAGACCAAAAAAGAAAAACCCTTCAGGAAATCTTGTTCCCCAGGTGTCTCTGAAGACCACAGCTGTCTTGCTATGAGGAGGAAAAAAAGGCCACTTGCTAAGGTGCAGCATTCATCAGCCCACTTTGTTGCACCTAATCTGTGTGAGCTGCCTTCTCTGGTAGCCACAGCCTCCACTGCCTCCTAATTCTGAAAGCAAGGCCATCTCAAGCCCTCTGTGGTTATCTGGCCTGAAGGGTGCAGCTGAAACAATGTTGGTCCAATGAACACAACAGACTTCCAGTGAGTGCTGCTGTTGGGACAATTTGGTGTGGCAGGAGGTCTGAAAGGACTTTGACAAAATACAGCCAGCAATTGCCTCCTGTGTCTAACCCGTATCGGGTGGGAGGAGCCTGGGATGACTCAGAAAGATCCTGTGAAAAGGTGACAGCAAAGTGGACGCAGGTGAAATTTATCCCACTCAGCAGAACGGCAGCCTAGTGATAAAACAGCACGCACCCACAGCATACTCATCTGTCAGATGGAGTCCTTGCCCCAAAGCACTCAGCTTCTACCCATCTCAGTCCAAAACAAACGTAATGCATTCAATGACTCTAAAGGACTTATGGCACTGATAATCCTCACTCCTTGTTGGATTTAAGATGAGGCCTTTGGAAAGGAGAATCTGCCGTCGCATGGCAAAAGATGTTTCCAACCCAATCATCTGATAATTGCTGTTAACAGGAAGCCTGCAGTTTGTAGTCCTTCACAAAGCAGCAGTGATTGCATCCCTCCGCTCAGCTTCCCAGGCCATGCAAGGCTTTCTCCCACAGGCACGGGGCCCTCTAACTTGAAGCCAGAGGCTGGCCTTCCTAATGCATCAAGGTTTCCCCTTATTACCCAAACATATCCTAGACTTCCAATGAAATGAGCGCACTGTGGGAAGTGTGTCCCTGCCCTCATGGAAGCAGGCAGCCTTTAACTTTGATCAGCTCTCACACAGGGGAGAAACACCTTTGGCTTTCACAAAAAAGTTGGAGGCAGAGGGATCAGTGTGCACTTCTAAATGGAATCCAGAACCCACCAACTTTGCGTGGAGTTACTGCAACGGTTCTTTTCCAAAGCAAACTGATTTCTCAGCTTCTTCAGCAAGGGCTGCGCTTCCAGTTCGCATCCCAGCTGCTCTAAACAGTGAATGAACCAGCGGCTCTCCACCTCGAGAGGGCACCACGAGACAGCTGAAAAAAGGAACGGAGGCAAACCGGCTTTACCTCAGGCCCCAAATATTCCTGTCATGAGGATGTTCAATTACAGTAATTAGCAATAATCACATAAGCAACAGGAGCTCCCCTTACCTCCCTTCACCCCACCAAAGAATGGAGTCTGCTTCATTAAAACCTCCACTTCCTCCTTAATCCTGCAGCCTCGTTCCTGGGAGCTTCCTTCAGCAACGGGAGGACCTGGATCCCACTTGTGCTGCCTGACTGGGTCAGCATGTCAGCCTGGAAGGGAAAAAAGTGTCCCTTGTGAGTCACCTGCCTTCAAAATTGAAAATTAGGAGGGGATGGACGTCTTAAATGCGAACGGATGGTACTCAAAAGCTGAAGCCTATCACAAGTGTGACTGCTGCTGTGTTTTTGTAACAACCCTGACCTACTTAAAATAAATGAGCTGTCTATGAAGCAGGATTTGTTGGTTTTTTTTTTCTCTCAATAATTATGTTTTCCTCCCACCCACCCTATAGCCAATATATTTACCCTGGCAGTACCTAATTTGCAGGAGGAAAAATGAAGTCAGAAGATTTACTGAAGGTCAGATGAAAACACATTTGTTCAAACACCTTTTTTCATTCTTGGAAGCACCTCAGCTTAGTAACTTCAACACGAGACCATTCTCCATCCCTCTGCTTCCCAGCAGCGAGTCACTGGCAGCAAGGCAATACCAGGGGCACGATGAAATTATAGACTAAACAAATATGTTTAAGAAGTAAATACACCTGCTAAAACATACTGGTTGGGTTTGAGCAAAGCAAGGAGAGCAGAGTGTTTTGAATGAGCTTAAGTTCTCAGTACAGATGAAATAAGGGGCCTGGATGCTCCTGACCTTCAAACGCAGGCTGCCTCCAGCACAAAGGCATTTTCAGTGCTGAGTCCCCAGAAACCAGGATTATGTCCCAAAGTCCGTGCACTGTCTGAGCCTTGGTACAGACCGGAAAGTGCAGATCCAAGGAAGAGCCTCAAGTAAGAAATCTTCACAGACAGAAATCAATCCATGCTGGGCATCTGGATGCCTCCCTGTGAGAGCTACTGTGGGGAGCCTGCTTTAGCAGGGGGGTGGGCCTTGATGATCTCGAGGTCCCTTCCAACCCCTGCAATTCTGTGATGCAACGTGGATGGCAAACGTAAAGGAAGGGACCAGCAGCCCCATCCATCAGTCTGCTCCGTGAGGCTCTAAGTCTCATTTACCCCCAGATACCAGGTAAAATGAGAAAGGCAAAGACAGAATTCTGGATATTCAGGACATCTGGCAATCTGATGGAGATTCCAGTCTGTGGCAGCATTTCCCAGTATTTTATACAATCAGGAAACAGCACAGATGCTCTGCTTTCTCATCGTAGGTGAGCTGAGGACAGAATTGGTGAGGCCTGGTTGGAAAGAACCCTGAGGAAAAAGCACAGTACACAGAGGAAACTATGAACTTCAGCTGAATAAATATAAAGAAAATAAGTGATTCATTCATAACCAAGAGGCTTTAATTTATACACATTTATTTTTGGGCATGATTCCTGTTGTTAAAACAGAAATGCCATAAATAAAAAATTTCTATGACTCAGGTAATAACATGGAGAATTAAATACCTTTCCTTCCTTTTTCTGCATAAACTTACAAAGCAAATAACTTCATGGACTGCTTTTCTTTTCATTTTAGATTCAGTGAGAGATCAGGGTGATGACATGGTGTTATAGAGGGTCACGAGACCAAAAAAGTTAAGGAATGATGTGTGGATTTTGTGGGAACATGAGGTAATTAAATCTCCATCCCTCCAATTCTGTCCTGAGAGGTTCTTTATAAAGACAGCAGGCAAACAGCAACTTCATAAAGTCCAACAAAGAGAATTGCAAAGCCCTGCCCCTGGGCAAGAATGACCACAAGTCCCAGAACAGGGTGGAACAGCTGGAAAGCAGCTGTGCAGGAGCTCCCATGGGAGACCTGGAGGGCAACAATTTGAGCACAAGCCAGCAATGTGCCCTTACAGCAAAAGCTACATTAGAAAGAGCATCTCCAGCAAGCCAAAGGAGGTAATCCTTCTCTCCTCTGCAATAGAGAGGTCACATCTGCACTTCTTGGTTCAGTCTTTGGCTCCTCAGTACAGTGGAAGCATAGACATTCTAGGATGAGTCCAGTGAAGGGCCATGATGGTGGTTAAGGTTGGAGTGTCTGTCGTAAGGGGACAGGATGACAGAGCTGAGCCTGTGAGCCTGGGCTTCAGGAGTATCTCGCCAATGGGAACCAACACCTGATGGGAAGGGGTAGGAAATTGAGCCCGACTTCTAAATGGCGCTCAGTGAGCACACAGTGGACACTGAAATACAGGAAACTATTTAAACATAAGAAAAAAAAACAGACACAAAAAAGTAAACCAAACCCTGACAACCCACACTGGAACAGGTTATGCACTCTCAATCCTTGGAAACACTAAAAGCCCAGCCAGACACAGCCCTGAGTAGCCTGCTCCGCTGACCCTGCTTTGGGCAGCACTTGGTCACCTCCAAAGGTCCCTTCCAACCTGAACACTCCTGTGGTTCTGACTGTGCAGGTTATTGATCTGTTCTGTGACAGGAAGAGCAACAAGCTGTATCAACAAACTTAGCTACTGAAAGAGCTAGGTTAGTTGCTAGAATCGCACTCACCAGCTGGAGTGAAAGTGAGTTTCTGTTGAAAGCCCTGTCAATGCAAACACTATTGTTCCTGAATGTGAGCTGTATCTGTGGGATTTCTTAATGTGCCTCAAGAACATGGACTTCATTAGGCACCTTATTAGCACCCTGATGAGAGCTGATGGCTAGCAAGGAGAGGGGCTGGCTGCCCAGCCTGAATGCAGCGCTTAGCTGAGCTTCTTGAAAACATTCAAACCTTGTGGATGGAACGCAAAAATGGGAGAGAAATAAGGAAGGGCTGGTCCTTCCCTTTCATCTCCTGGTTAAATGATGAGCTGCTTGGCGAAGAGATACAGGACATTTCACTGCAAACCTTCCCTACTTGGCACACAGCATTTTTAATTTGCTGTTCATGGAATGCATTTAAGCTTTCATTTTATTCAGGGTTAATGATTCCTGAAATAAAAAAAAAGCAATGTAAATATAACTCCTGAAGATGGAACATTCAGAAGCAATACTGCTTCCATCTCAAAATTGCTCAGCTCACTTTTAAAATCATTCTCAGAAGTGGGGCAAGAGGTCTGCCTAATTATTTACCGAGCATTTGCACTTGAAAACACCATTCTAAATTACAGATTGTATCCCAGAGCCCAACTTCAGGCCTAACAGTATGGTCTGTTACACCAGAGGAAGCTGTTTTAGCAGTATTCCAGCAGGAATATTGTTTAGGTTTTAGAGCCCTCTTCTATCTAGGTGCCATGAAACGTAAGAAAATGAAATCAGCTAGAGTTAGATAATCAGGAGTGATTTATTTTGTAAAACTGTCCGTTTTTAATCAAGGCAGACTTAATTATTTAGATAGACCTGTTTGGGAACAAAATTAACTTCTGTGCTGCCTTCATTTTTCATCTGGGAATACATTATGACTGTGAATGCTGAGCTATAGTTTATTTCTAATCCTGCTGGTGTTCTTGCTGTACACACAATAAATTAAACCCAGGATGTCCTCTGCATCTTGCTACCGCTTCAGCACTTTCCACTTCATTCCACACTGCTCTTTTCTCTTTGCGTCCTTGCACGGTTCTGCACATCAGCTATCTATAATTACCATCATCCAAACTGCAAATACAGCCTGCTTATTTCTCATATCCAAAACAGGAGCACGAGAAGAAAGGCTGGGTAAGCTGAGCATAGCTGCGGTTCAACAGAACAATGTCACTGGGTCCAAATCTAGCAAAGTTTGTAGGCACAAACTTAATTTAAAACATGTTAGTATTGTTTTTGCAAGAACACTTTTAATGTTAAGGCTTCAGTAGCAATTTTCATACTTGAATTATGCAGAAGGCAAAGAACTTCACTAGACAGAGGCCTGACCTCCAACACTACATGCAACCCTCTTTGTCTTTCAGAACCAAATTAATTCTCTTATTATCCTCACAGTGCAGTGCACTCCTTAGACTCAGATTTTGATTGAAGATTTAAAGTGGATAATATAAATGTGACATATACATTAAGTGAAATTTCAGATAGATGGCTTTTTAACGTTCAAAAGCAGCTTCCCTGGAAGCGGCTCACTCTTAGCAAATTACCTCTGACAAGTCCGAATCTCCCCGATAAGCCTCTCAAACACTACAGCTTCTGCTCAGAGGAATATCTAAAAACTCATCACGCCCAGTCCTTGACAAAGAACAAGAATTAGATTCAAACTGAAAAGAAGCGATGCTGGGAGAGGCTGACATTCAAAAAGGGTAGGAGGATAAAAGAGAGCGAAAAATGACAGACCCAGTCTGCACCATTACTAAAATTAGATCATTTCTTTTGTTCTCCTGAACCTTCTGCTCTATTTGCCAGGAATCATATTAGCAACAGAAACTGTGAGAATCTGTCCAACCTTATTAGAGAAGCTGGGCACAGAGAAATGATGAAAATCCTTTTTAAATGTACTTGCACATACAAAGGAAAAAAGTGGAGTTTCAGAATTTTGAAAGATTGGATCAAAACCCACGTCGGAAAAACTGGACATCAAATTAACAAAGCTTAATTAGCAGTACTGCAGTGCGCGGAGAACAAGCAAAGAACAGAACTTTACCACTTGCATCAGTATAGATATAGGCTTAATGCTCCACAACAGGGGAAAACACAGGCGTGCTCTCAAGCTCTTCTCCAAAACATTCATCTACTGTCCAAGCACTGCCACCTGTCAGAGCTCCGAGGGGTCAGCTCTGCTATTGGGAAGCCTTCTGGCAGTTGACTTATGCTGCAGGACAGTGCATTTCTTCCTCATCCTCCTCCCCTAGCTCCAGCACCCCAGCTGGGTGGGGTGGATATTGTCAGCCTCTAACCGTTAGGCTAAAAAGGCATTTGTTCATGTAACGTGGGAGATTCACCTGCAGGCCTAATGGTCTGCACTCCATAGGAGCAGCTGATGGTGTGTACAGATCACGCACCCCTCAGCGTTGTTGGAATGTCACGAGGATCTTCACAGTCAGATCCTGATGGAGGCCATCGGAACCCACACCCTGATAACTACGGGGTGTGAAGGCGACCATTCTTGACTGGGTGAAGTGCACCCACTGGCTTGCATGCAGATGACACAAATTCAGTCCTCATACAAGAGCTACAACTTGTCCTGAAGCTCCAGCAGTGAGAGGCTGCTGGAATGGCATCTCTTGCACAGTCTGCCTCCATTCATAAGCACATCTACATGGCCACGGAGCGTGGGACAAATGACAACTGTGACGTCTGCATGGCCACAGGACTCTTACGCCCTGTCAAACCAAAGATGCAGAATATCCCATAGTCAATCCTGGGTTGTCACTTACAATTCAAGCAGTACACAAATTTGCAATTTGTAGTTCTTTTTCTGTCCCCTTCTCCTCAGATCAGTGACAGATTCTCAAAGCACAGCAATCGAAAGAGACTTCCAAGACAAGTGAGCAGCTGAATGAAAGTTAATACTTGATAAAATTCACCACATGAATGACTGTTACACTGGCACGATCAATAGTAGCTCAGAAATACCACCGAAAGCCCTTGGCCCTGGGGAAATGCAGATATCTTTCACACAGAGGAACTTTTTAAAACTTTTTTAATGAAGTAGATGGTTTATTTTAAAGGGATAAAGTCATCCAGAAAGAAGCAAATTCCCAAGTATTCCATGGCTTTCTGCCAGCCTAAGGTCATACTGTCTGAAGGAATTACTTCTAAGGGAGCCATGAAAAAGTAGTTGTGGATAATACACATCCAGCATACACAGCTTCATCAATCTTAAGAAAGTAACCATAAAAAGTATGAAAATATGCAAGATGATTACTTGGGGGATCAGAATTAAGAGCCCTTTCACCAACTAAAAGGAAGCAACCCAAAAAACAAGTCTTAAGCCTGCAAACAGTTTATGTATATCTCAATTCAGGCAGATGAGAACTATTAATTTCAGAAGAATTGTTCACATGCTTGCAGTTACACACTACAGTAATCTGGAAAGGACAGCTGGAGGCTGGCAAAATTGACCTGTAGTTACAACACTTTGCAAGTTTTATTTTATATGACCAAGAAAGCTCTTCTAACTTTTGGAGAAATAAATTAGTGTGCTCTCTTTTCCAGTACTTCAGAGTTTGCATTGACTCAATTTCTGATTTATTCTTGAGTAAGGACAGGCAAGAATCTTTTCTCTAAGTTCTGAAACACAAGCTGCAGAGACTGTCTTTAAATAAAGCTTATGTCTGCTTACCCGCGAAATTGTCAGATTTACACATTTCAGTACAGTGTTTTAATAGGATTGCAAGAGACACATTTCAAGGACAAGGTGTGAATAAATCTGGAATGCTGGAGAAACTGAGCAGCCTGGGATGCGCATCGTCCTGCCCACTGGGCTCGGAGTCACTTGTACTGTTCACCTCCATGGGAAAGAAACCCCATAAATGTAAATCTGTCTTTTTTGGTAGCATTTCCCGAGTTCTACACTGGATACCCCCCACTTTGTCGTTTTGTTATCTTTGAAGAATGCAGTCTAACAAGCCTCTAAAAAAAGTTACTTCTGACTCAAACTGCTCAGAAGAATTCCTTCGCTGTATTTAGAATTTCAAGTACACAGAAATGCAGTAAACGTTATGAGGGATTCAGATTCCAAAGGATGCAATTGTTTCCAAGAACTCACAACATGAATATTAAGGCAGACAGATGCATGCCCTGCTACCCTGCAGTACACAGTTACACACCGTCATGCTGTTAGATGTAAATCCTGTTAAGGACGCTCCGGCTGTTAAACAGTGTGCAATGGGCCTGATGTGGTCCGCAGGGCCCAGGCTGGTGACGGACCCAGGGACAGCAACCTGCTGCAGCTGTTGGATGGGCCGGGGGCTTTTCTTCACTTTTTTCTTCACTTTGGGATCCTGCCAGCAAGCCACGGCTAGACAGGGCCCTCACGTCTAGTTTTACAGCGGGACGACGGCAGTTCGGGGCGGCGGACGCACACGGTGCTGCCGACGGAGCTTCGCCCTCAGCGCCGCGCGGCCGTTTCCCCCAGGCGGCAAAATGGCGGCGGCGGCTGCGAGGGGAGGGGGCGCCGCCGCGAGGCCGGAATCCGTTATCCAACGCCTCCTGCTGCTGCTCTTCCCGCCCTGCCGGCGGGGAGGAGCGCCGGGCCGCGGCCTGCACCGTTCACGCCCCCTGAGGGAACCGGTGGGGTCGGGGTGCGGAGCAGCGCTCCGCCGTCCTCCTCCTCCTGTCGCAGGCTCGGCCCCGTTCCCCTTCTCCCCGAGCTGCTCGGAGCCCCGGCCCGAGGTAGGTGCCGCCGCGGTGCTCGGAGGAGCCGATCTGATCTGCGGGCTCCGTGGCTCAGCGAGGCCTGATGGCAACGGGGAGAAACCTCCCCACCGCCGGCACGGGGCCAGAGCCGTCCGCCACAGTGCCGCGGCTTTCCCCGCGGGAATACGGGGACTTCAGCACGTGGGAGGGGGCATCCCGTGCGCGGTGCGTTGAGCGCTCCGTGCGGACGCGGATGGCGGAGTGGAACGCGTGGAGCGGTCTGATGGCGCTGCAGCCCTGTAGCGCCGTTACGACGCTTCGGTCCCTGCCGGGGATGAGCAGCTGTTGTCCCGCGGACTGTTTGGGTAACCAGGAGGGTTGTCAGCGCTGGGCCAGGCCCCTATGATAGGAATGCGTGCTGGAGCCAGGTTCTGTAAACACTCGGTGCCTCGTGGAGCCCCGTTGCTAAGGGCTCAGCAATAACGAGACGCGTGAGCGCCTCGTGGGAGCCGGGAGGTGTTACCTGACTGCTGGCAGCCGGCAGGACTGCTGATGGGGGCATTTCCACGTTTCTTCAGCGTAAGTCTTGGGCTTTATAAATAAACTCTCTTCCTTTTCTGGCTCCTGGTAGGTTTTTGGAGGGTGGCCAAGTGGAGCTGTATTGTTTGTGTGTGTAGATTCTGCGTCTCGCACGAAGATGTCTGTTGTTTACACAGAAGCTGTAAGAGGGATGTTTTGTTAGCGTTTGGTTGGCAATACAAATTGACACAACGCAAACGAAGCCTTGAAACAGAAATAGCCCTTTTTACAGAGAGCTGAACGTCACGGCTGCCAAAGATCTGCTTTTAAAGGAGGACGGTGCACCTTTTGGTTCTACTTTCTTCTTTGGTTTTGTTTGAAAGCTCGTCTTCTGTCCTTTACATACATACGGATCTGCTGCACCTAACTGTGGGAGCAACTTACTTTTGTGTATGCAGGTCATTTAAGCAGTATTCTTATAAAAGAGGTTGCCTGAACTGTAAACTTTTAAAATGACATTTGAAAGTTGTTTTTAATTGGGTGCGTCACTGTTAGGTTTTCACATCCTTGAGCTGACTGCAGTGAATTCCTCTCCCCATTGTCAACATGTGTCTTTTCCATTATGACTGACTTCTGCCTTCTCCTTTCCTCTAGCTTGGAATTTTTACAGTTTGGAAGAAAAAATAATCCAGCGTTGGTGGAGAGTGGTTGAAGAAAGCCTGCAGGGCCCCACGTTTCACTGGGGTGTGTGTTGGGGTAGTGTTCCCTGAAGGCAAGCTTCTGGTTGAGCTAGTGCATAGAAATGGCCTTTAGAATCTCTCATTTGCACTGCTTCTTAGTCTGAGAATGATGAGCAGCTACCTCTGCCACTAGTATGTGATTAAATGTGAGGAGTGAAGTGGCTCGGATGCACCTAAAAGGATTTGGTATGTAGAAGGAAGGGATCACAGTAGGTGGGAACTCCGTGGTGGTCAATGTATTTCACTGTATCAACAATGATGTCTAGTAGGCTTTCATCGGGTTGTGCACATCCAGTGGAAGGAAGGCAGAATTGCATCTTCCAAGGCAATCTAGCATCTCTTTTTAAGAAGCATTCTTATCAATGAATTAGTTCTGCACTGCATGCTTTGTGCTGCTCTTGGGAGGAGTAGAAATACCATTGTACCCCGTGTCTTACCTCAAGTATTTGTACGTGTTAGCATCTCCCAAGAACATCTGTGGGTTTTCGCTTTTGTGACCAGTCTTGTAAGATTATATTTGAATATTGGAGTTACCATCATTATTTCTCAGTGTTTGTGACTGGCTCTTACATGGTGATCCACTGTAAAGGTTTAGAGGTGTTTTAAAGTTCTTACTCTGAGAGTGGTGAGGTGCTGGAACAGCTGCCCAGAGACGCTGTGGATGCCCCGTCCCTACAGGTGTTCAAGGCCAGGTTGGATGGGGCCCTGGGCAGCCTGGGCTGGTATTAAGTGGGGAGGTTGGTGGCCCTGCATGTGGCAGGGGAGTTGGAGATTCATGATCCTTGAGGTCCCTTCCAGCCCTGGCCGTTCTGTGTTTCTGTTTTCTTCTTCTTTCAGCTTTCCTCACTGCCATGAGGAAGATGTGAGTTGTGCAGGATCAGCGCATGGAGAACTATCAGTGTTTATTTCCTTTATATGTTTTAGGAGGCAGTAAGCTATGTTGGAAAGACACTAAAGATGCTGGTGTTATAGAAATAATAGGCTTTACTAATTTTTTACAGTTTATTTCATAGTGCTTTGATTTTTGTTGGGACTTCAGGTGTGACTGTATGCCTGATTATGCGCCCAAATCAGTGACTCTTCAGATTATCCATGGAGATCTGTAACAGGATTAATTGAAGTTGGAGTTCCATAGCAAGACGTGTTTGGAATTAGCCCAGGTGAAAAAGAAATCCTTTTTAGGCAGACACTGTGGTGTGGAGATGAGTGGTTTTCTCATTTCCCAGTAACAGGTTAGATCATCTGCTGCCTAAAGCTTTGGATCGTTAGCGTATTCTTTAATTTAAAAAATGGTCTTATTGACATTCTTGGCGTTTGCTTACTAGTTGTATTCTAGTAGCAAAATCTGTGGATGTGTTAGGGCAGTTTCTGGTACTAACGTTAAAATTCCGCTAGAATTAGCTACATGAAAATAGGAGAAGAGAGCTCTCGGTCTCGGTTTTGAGTAAGATTCAGTAATGTTTGCTCCTTCTTCTTTCTGCTCTCTTACAGGAACAATGATACTCATCCAGCATTCCTGAGTAATAAGAATGGGTCCAGATGTACCGCTGCTCAATGATTACAAGCAGGAGTTCTTCTTGAAGCGCTTTCCGCAGACTGTGCTGGGAGGTCCTCGGTTTAAGCTGGGCTATTGTGCCCCTCCTTACGTATATGTGAATCAGATTATTCTTTTCTTGATGCCATGGGTTTTGGGAGGAGTAGGAACGCTTCTGTACCAGTTAGACATTATGAAAGACTATTATACTGCAGCACTTTCAGGAGGACTCATGTTTGTCACTGCGCTTATTCTTCAGATGGCAAATCTATATGCAAAACAGAAAACAGTGACAGTAGAAAGAATGCAAATCCAGAATGCTCTAACAGATGAAGATGAGTTTGAATTTTCCAGCTGCGTAGGTTCAGAGACAATAAAATTTATTATTCCTGGCAAGAAGTACATAATCAACACTGTATTCCATTCGCTTCTGGCAGGGGTATTGTGCGGGCTGGGAACTTGGTACTTGCTGCCAAACAGAATAACCTTGCTGTATAACAACATTGGAGGAACTGTTATGATCTTTGTGTTTGGATGGGTGACTGTGTGTATAGCAGAGTATTCGTTAATCGTAAATACAGCTACTGAGACTGCTACTTTCCAAGCGCTGGATACTTACGAAATCACCGCTCTGATGAGGCCTTTCTATATTTTTGTCTTTATTGCAGTGGATCTTGCACACAGGTAAACCTAATGCAGCATTTTCCTAATTAAAGCTCTAGTTATTTTGTGTGTATTTCTATGAGAAAGGTGCAATTATTCTTCTGAGGGAAATTAACTGTAGGTTGTCCAAAAGAAGGCAGAGAAGTGTTATGTCAAATACTGATGCTCTACATTGTGTATAAAAGGTTGTTCTTAAATTGCTGTATTTTGTCACGTAAATTGGGAAGACCCTGAGCAGCTTGTAAGTTAGAAACAGTTAAAACTGTCTTTTGCAGTGTTAATTTGCTTTTAGATGTACTTTACACAGGCTTTCTCCTTGTCAAGCAGTAGTGATATCACTTAGTCAGAAAACGTGTTCATGTGACAGAGGTACTTCAAATGCATTATTAAAAAAAGCGTGTTTGCTTTTGATTGGATTAGTTTTGCACTTGAAGATGTAATTTACCCTAGTTGCTTTTTCAGTTACAATGTGATAATTACACAAACACTCTTGGACCCCAAATAGTTCTCTATAAACTCATGAACAGAAAATTCAGATGTTCTGTAAATTCCTGAAAACATTCCTTTGAGGCAGGCGTATTTGTTTACTAGGAAGCAGAGGGAAATCCAGTACCTTAGCAGTCCACCTGTGAGTCAGTGTGCTTGCTGATGAACTTGCTGATGGCTTAGAATTTATGCCGACTTCTAATACTGATCTTTGTGTTTTTACAGAAAGGTTTAAATGCTTTTATGTACAAAATTACTACAATTTTGAAAGGTAGAAGCTGAGGTCTTGTAGATTGAATAGGTCGTGTTTGTGCTTCTGGATGGAGTGTACTAATTGGGCAAAAAGCCTTCCCACACATCAGCTGTATTTTCCTTCACGAAAGTCAAATGCATTTCTTCTTTCCAGGTTTGCTGTCAACGCACCCATTCTAGAGCAGGCAAACCAGATTTTGCACGTCGTATTTCTTTGTCTGCCGTTCTTGTGGGCAATGGGAATTCTGCCCCCGCTTGACGCACTTTTTCTGTGGGGAATGGAACAACTGTTGGAGTTTGGACTAGGAGGTTCACCTATGTCAAGTAACACAAAGTAAATTTTGTTTATATAATGATAAAATACAGCAATATTGTTTATAACCTTTTTCTTTTCAAGCAAATCTTTTTTATTTTCTCCTTCACAGGTTGTTAGTAATGTTTCTCATTTCTGCTGGAA